AATATCACATGTTCTCACTTATTTGTGGGAGCTAAAAATAAATAAATAAATACATGAATAACTGGGGGGGAGGGAAGAAGGCACAACAATTACAATTCCTTGAAGTTGATACAACAAGTGAACGGATATAAGGTTGTTGGGAGGGAGCGGGGAGAGCAAGAAGGGAGGGAGGTTTTGGTAATGGGCCACAATAATCAACCACATTGTTTATTGACAAAATAAAATAAAATTTTTTTAAAAAAGAAAAACGTTTGCAGAAAAATAACATAAAAGTAAAAATAAGAAAAATATGAAGGGAAGAAAAGTCTTTCCAATTTTTTAGTACCTTATACAAATGTTGGATAAGATTTCTAAGAGAATCTGCAGTTTGTATATTTTTGTAAAATTTGGTCCCTGAAAGAAGCAAATAAGGACTTATGAGATATTATTTGTGTTATGATTAGATAACTTGAAGCCTAAGAGAATTGTTTTTAATTCAGATCAGTACAATGAACTGAAAAGTATAAGGAACTAAAAAGTTATTTGAAATAAGTCCTTTGATTGGGACTTATTACTAATATTAATATACACTCAGATAATATGCTGACAATGGGAGAATACTTGCTCTTTGCTCTGATTTCTTCTTGTTTGGACTGTATGTAGGCACGTTATACATAATCATGAAGAATAAAAACAGTGAAATAAATTTTAACTTATCAAAAAATTTTACAAGTAGTAAAACTTAGCATAGATATGGTAAATAATCACCTCCTTTTATTTATAGGAGTCAAATTTCATAAAAATATTCTGAAATTCAATTTAAAAATATTTTCTGTGAGCCTTAAGATTTTTTATAGCCTCCATTATCTTACGAGTATAATTTAAAAATGCATTGAAAATATTTACTGAAGTATAATTTTTAATTGTGGAAAATGGTAATATATTCTATGTTCAACATTAGAGGATTTAAATAGATTGGAATACACCTTTGCAATGAAATATAATTCGTTTATAAAATAAATGGGTACGAAGAGTAAATAATAAAATTTAAATAAAGATATAAAAGTTAGGATATGTAAGTATTCATACAATATGATTTTGACAATATGAAATGTATAACAATAGAATTGGAAGGAAGTATAACAACACATTAAAAATTCTTACTTATGATGGGTGGGATTGTGGGTTTCTGTTATTTTGTTTATACTTTTACAAAATTATCTGTTTTTTCCAAGTTTTAATTTGACTGCATGATGTAAACACAGGATGAAAAAGAAGTGTCACACCCAAGATAGTAACACACTTGGTGATATCAGACCAAAATTGCTAAAAGCAATTTCAAATTAATTCTAACTGATTTCAGGTGCATTCATCCTGCCCAGTTCCTGAGATTTTACCATTGTTTCTAATAAGAGATGTAACTGAATTTGAATTTATGTACAAACTCATTTCCTTGTAGATTGAAGAGGAGGAAACTCTTAGCGATTATCAGAGGCATGTCATTTTAGTGAGTTCAGGCTAAAATGTCATTAGGTTAAGTGTCATTTAGGCTGAGTGAACATGATGACTTTCTACCTCCCCTGAAGTATATATAAAAGAGATGTTTGCCAGGAGCCTAGAAGATTGACTCAATTTTTGCTGTCTGCATGGAAATTGGGCATCATTTAACTTAGATTCTAGCACAGGCACCTATTATTAAGATGCAGCTATACTTTCATTCAGTGGAAGAATAAATTATGAACATAACCTCAGTGTCTTAGTGAGTTTGGGCTACTATTATGAATTACCATAGACTGGGTGGCTTAAGCAACAAGCAATTATTTTTCACAGTTCTGGAAATCAGGGTACCAGTATGGTCAGGTTCTGGTGAGGACTGTCTTTTGAGTTGTATCCTCACACAGCAGAAAGAGGGCTGGCTAGCTCTCTGGCCTCTTCTTATAAGGGCACTAATCCCATTCGTGAGGTCTACATCCTTATGACCCAATTATCTCCCAAAGGCCCCACCTCCAACACCATTAGGTATTAGGGTTTCAACATACAAATTTTGGGTGAACTCAACCATTTAGTCCATTGCAACTGGTAATATACATCTGCCTTACCCCTAATATTTGACTTCATAATTTCAAAGATTTTTTTTATCTCTTTATCAGTACTTTAAAATATGTTCATTCTGCTCTTTATGG